TAAATAAATTTTGCAAGGTAGGGTAGGAGAATTACCAAAAGTTCCGACATTTTAAATTTTCAGGATCCGTATTTTGAATTTAAAGAACGAAAATTCTAGGACTAGTGATTTATATTTTGTGAAAAATCATAGTAAGAAGTGCTCCTTATCAGTTTACTCCCTACACCTCCTAATGGCCTAGGCTATAAATATATGCTAACGATAATCAGAACCTTCGTAACTATTTCTGGAGGGATGTACTCGATCTCAGCAATTAAAAGAATTAAAAAAATTAGTAGCACGTGAAATGTACACAGTAATCAATAATTATTCCTCTAAAAACCTAAATATTATCGAGGGGCCCACTAGCTGTTTTTTCTTCAAAAATATAAAGTTTAAAATTATTTTTAATTATTATTTTTAGGCCTATATGAATGGACCCCCAAGTCCCAATGCTTTGCACTGGCTGTACTGCCTGTCCCTACGCCACTGTCGAGGAGAAAATACCCCCATGGAGTGGTAGAGGTTGCACATTATGTATTTATGCTGCCGATTTTTTGATTTAATGGGTGCAGGGTTGGCCCCGGTTCCACATATTTTGGCTGAAAATATATAATGTGTATGGAGATTTTTGCATGATCGGAAAGAAATTCAAGAAAAGAGAGGAGAGGTAAGCGGAAAGAGAGTGTTTATCCAGTCCTCGACCCAGTTAAATTTTCTCGCAATTCACATTCGTGGATCTGGGGGTGGGGTCAGGGGTCCTCACCCACTTCCTTGGGAAAAAAAAAATAAAAATTAAAAAAAATTAAAAAATTCTAGGCCTACATTTTAAGAACCCATGAGCTGAATTTTTCTTTTTTTTTTACAATAAGAAAATTTTCCCCGGACCCCCTTTCTTTTTGGAATTTATCGATTCATGGAAAAAAGAATACATATCTTGGGAAGATTAGAAATCAACATTTTCCCGGGGAGAACCCAAATCCCCTTTCTCTTTTGGGTTTACTGATTAATAGAATCGTTTTTTTAAGAACTTGAAAGTCATTAAAAGATGCCTCAGAAGTCGGGAAAGCTCATTTCTCGCAAACTTGGAATCCATATTTTCCTGGGGAAATTTCATATTTACTTTTTTTTCCAAAGAAGCGCCCAAGTGTGGAGAGTGCTATTACTAAATACAATTTTTAGGGAGATAAATGACAAAAAAGAACTTTACCAAGATTTAATGCTCTGTTTTCAAAGGAAACACCAATTGCATCAGTATTCTGTTCAAAAATATCATTGCAAACAACTGATAGCGAAACGTGGTATAGTTTGCATTTGTGTACCAGATGCACTTTGTCTAAGGATTCAGCATGAACTTTTCTAATATTTCTAGGTTGTTCCGGCAACAGCACTGAAAAAAAAATGTTCCATTTTTACTTAAAGAAATAGTATTCACGACTGGCTTATTATTTTTTTTATGTAAAGCTTTTTGGGCGTGCCACAAGGGTGCGTGTTATCACCTTTCCTTTATTCACTCTATACTCACGATCTTGTCATGATACAAATGACTGTTATATGGTAAAATTTGCTGATGATGCCACAATCTCCGGGCTGATACACGATAACAATGAGGCGATGTATCGTGGCCAAGTAATAGATTTTGTTAAGTGGTGTGACCAAAATGGTCTAGTGCTGAACGTCAAGAAGACCAAAGAAATGGTCATTGATTTTAGAATGCTTAAATTACAAATAACCCCACTTACCATCAATGGTACTTCTGTGGAAATTGTAGATAAATTTAAGTTTTTGGGAATTTATTTAACTAATGACCTGAAAGGGCGAGAAAATACAAATAAGTGCATTAAAAAAGCTCAACAGCGACTCTACTTCCTGAGGAGACTTAAATCTTTTGGGGTTAGTAGGAATATTATGTCAATTTTTTACAAGTCCGTTGTTCAAAGCATTCTTTTATATTCTATTGTTGTTTGGTATTGTGGTTCTACCGAGGCTGACCGAAATGACCTCAGACGTATCATTAAATATGCCTCTCATATTATCGGTCACAACAAGGATGATATTGAGGACATATTTAATGCTAGGATGTTAAAAAAAATAAAATGTATAATTGAGGATCCAACACACCCTGGTAACTCTCTTTGAATTGCTTCCCAGTGGTAGAATATATCATTCAATTTATGCTCGTACAAGTAGGTACCAAACGAGTTTCTATCCATTAGCCATCCGTACCCTCAATACAATTCAATAACACTGTAACTCTGATATTTCTCTCTTTAGTGCTACTTCGTCTGTTGCGTTGTACTTAGTTGTAATGTGAAAAAGGACCACAGTAATTTCTATGTAATGTAATGTGAGCGTTGCAAATGACAATAAATTGAAATTGAAATTGTTTAAACATTAATATTGTACTGTAGTTGCTTTGTTTGTTGATTGACCTTCAGTTTGTACATTATTTTATTGTTCCTTGTGATACATACTGTACCCACATTAAATTGTTTTTCTTATTAGTGACTGGCTGTAGCAACTCTTTTATCAGCAATTACAATGCTGCGCTAGCGCCCAAAATATCTGGGGAATGACATCTTGAACAATTCAAGACGGAATATTTCTGCTCGAGTTTGGTGTGTTTTTGAGAATTTTTAATGCAAACTGTATTATATTTTTGTAATTTGAATATTATGGAAAAATATATTAATAATAGGTAAAATTTTTATATTTTAAATATGGAAATTTTGATGAGCTGTGAACATAAATTAATAATGCATATAACTAAGGGTTTATTTTTTGGATATTCAGAATTTATATTTTTTCGACAGCAAATAATAACACCTCAACTTTTAATTGCAATTGTTTAGTTCGTTTTAGTAATTTTAATGTATATACCAATCAATCTCAATGCCTCTTAATTTTCTTAATGTATTTATATGTTTTATATTGTAACAATGTAATGCAATCAAATTCAGCTTTTCGCTGTTAATTATAAATTATATACCAACATAAATTTAAAAAAAAACTCTTGGGGTCCTTCATAATTATCAATATTTTCACATTGTGTACAAACAGTATACTGGAAGGGAAGGGTTAGACAATTTTGTACACTTTTACATATGCATGAAAATATTTGATTCAAAATAACAAGTAATATTGAAAATAATAATTTTTATGATCAATTATAATAGAACCATAGATACAATAGACATTTTTATGCAACCAAATACAATACAGTACTTCAGTTCACTTCACAAAAAAAAGGAGAATGGTTTCGGAAAATCAATATGTTCATGTACACTTTCAGGGGGGAGGTGGAAGTACCGAAAAAAAGTCCTGTTTGTACTGCAAAAATATTTATAATTTTGAATGACCCTTTAACTGTTATGAGTTTGAAATGATTATTGTGTTCAAAAAACAATGCAAATTACGTTAAACTGATATTTCATTATGTTTATTAATTCTTTTAAATATAAAGAATTATTCCAATTTAACTGCGAATTGGATCATTGATGTTTTACATTAAACACACCACTGAAATATTAAATTTTCATGCAAATTCATGGGAACTATTGTGGTATACAATGCAAATGTACAGAATAATTACAAATTAATTATAAGTTAATCTTAAAAAGACTAATTAGCATAATCACACAGGTAACAAAACAATAAGCTCCTTATTCTTTATGTCACCTTGCATTCTGCCAAAGTTGAAACCAATCGAATTGTGGTAACAATCAATTTACTACCAACATGAGAAACAATCTGGTAAAACAATAGTAAAAACAAATTTCCAAGAATTAAAAGCAGAATATTATTTAAACATACCATACTTTGCTTCAGTTTCTTCCACCATATGCACAAGATCAAGTCGATTAATCTCGCGTAACAGTCTTTTAAGCTCCTGAAGATTGTGTTCGCTGAATACTTTTTTATCCTCTAATTTTGAAGCAAGGTCTCTGAAGTTTTTTATATCCTTCAGTTCATCTGGTGATAGAAAGGCACGACTTAGGTACTTGATATCTTCTGGCTCCTCTGCCACTAGTCCATAAGATATGTCAAGTACTATCTTAAGGTATACTTCTTCAGACAATGCCATGTTAAGCAATTTGTACTCTGAAAATGATTAAAAATCAGGAGTTATTTTAATGGTACAATTCATTCACCACAAATAATTTCTAAACTTAAATGTAGTGGACAGTGTTCCTTTATTGATAGTGTAGGTCCAGTGGCTGTGACCTCTGAAAGCTTTTTAATCTTTCATTTATCAAAATGATTTCACAATTGGTTAGCGAATAGGCTGCTGCCGGAGGAAGGAGCTCCCCTTTTTTTACCCCTGGATCTGTCACTGTGAGGTAAGCCAATGTGGAATGACTCAATGTATCAATGATATGGAATTGTGTACAGAAAGAAAAGCAATGTTCTTGTGTCTGTAGTGTTAAACTATCTGTGTACTTGTTTTTTTTTTTGCTAATTAAAAAAACACACAGTAAATGCATTCCTTTATGAATGCATGCTTGTAAACTAAGCGCCAACTTTGAATTTTGGAAGAAAAACCCCATATCTTAGGATAAAATAAGGATATAACCAAATATAAAATTTCGCACAAATCAAATCCCCCAGAAATTTGTGCATACTACCCTGTTAGAGATGAAATCACTGCTAACGATGACAGACAGAATCCTTTTCAAAGGCCCAAAAGTAATCATTCCAAGCTCCTTGCGCTAATTGGCTTTTCCCAGCAGTTGTTCTGTTTTTTTTTTTCTTTCTTCTTGCGCTTAATAAATCTTATTATTATTATTTATTATTATTATCGTCGATCACATCACAAACTAACAAAATCAAGTGTTAGTTAGTGAAATCACAGTAGCGTGTCAAAATGAGCGCGTATTGGTTATCAAGCACTTTCGTATTTTTTATCACACAAAAAGTCCGTAACAACAACTTCACGTATTTTGACGAGCTTTTGTGATTTCACGAACCAACACAATTTAATTTTATTGTGTTAGTTCGTGATGTGAGCGACGATATATTTGTCCTATCTTTTTGCACTGTTTTTTTCTGGCCTTCACTTTGGTCACTTCCCATGCTTAGAATTTTTCCGTGCTTTGCTGAAACATAGGCCATGTATCTAGGATGTGCCTCCTAATATTTAGTGTCAATCTATGGTGGGGTGCGCATGTGAGGACCAATTAAAGTGATTTAAGGTCAAACAGTCCACACCGGATATTTCAAAAACTGGTCAGTTGATGTGAATGAAACTTTCGGGAAAGTTTATTCAAGTTATAAGGAAGAAATATTTATGTGTTAGTGACGATCCAGTGAAGGGTGTAAATTTTAGGGTCTTTCAGTTTTTAAGGACCCAGATCTAAATATCTCTTTAAAAAAAAAACCAATGGGTCTAAATCAAACATTCTATAATACTTTGTAAAAGTCTTGTAAAAAAGTTATTAAATTTTTGTGACAATACACATTATGGTATGGATCTGAGGACCATTGAAAGGAAAACGTCATAGACCACATATTTTGAAAACGGATCAACTGATCTGAATGAAATATTCGGAAAAAGTTTAACCAAGTTACAAGGAAGAAATTATTATGTGCTTTGTTTACTTTCTACTTCTGCTATAACTGCCCACAGTGCGGCACGCGAGAACGATATTTGAGCCCAACAACTTATAAACGCTGCTTTAAAATCTGTACGTAGGTTAATTATTTCTCTGAATAATGGTAAATCTACAAAATCAAACGCGTAGATATGCTACAGTGCTAACCACCTTTATGGCTCCAATGATGCGATGTTATGCTGATAGATTGATTGTCCAATCCAACTTCGATTTTGTTGTGCATGTGAGGAGGCAAAGGAGAACTGCAACCAGGCCTGGGCCGTAACACTATTGAATTTCCCGCGGGCAGGTCTGTGGACGAAACACTAGCTCCATGGTCATTCTATACATGGTATTCTACCCAGCAATTTGGTGGTCAAAATTATCGCGGATAATCAAGATGGTAATTAAGCTAGTGTCCGAGCGGTTTTAGTAAGTGTGTACCGGTAAATTAACTGGTAAATCGCACAGATACTTTATCGCTTGAACGGGCCCATTGTTAAGAAATACAATGTCCTTGTGTGCCCATGGATCCTTAAGTATGACCATAGAGAAAATGTTCTATTTTCTCTATGGTATGACTTACCTGCCTGTTCCCTATGAGATTGGCAATATTAAATCATTAGAGTCTGTCCAACATAGGATAACAAAATGTTGAGTGGATCGTGACATCTCATACCCTAGTAGAAGGCTTGAACTTAAATTTTGTTCATTAAGAAATATACTTATTTTTATTATCGTTTCCTTTGCTGCTAAATGCATTATTCAATACACTGCCATTTCTGTTACTTTTTCTATATTAACCTCCATCACTACGACCACCTTAAATTTATACAAAAAATTTAACTGTACTGATTGACTCGAAGTCCCTCATTTAAAAATGTCCTAAAAATTTGTAGTTCAAGCGTTGTAAATACGCCATTGCACAGCTAACAATATTATGTTTATAAGAACGTCATAACGTTACAGTTTCATTAGCAAATCTGAGGGGGTCACAGGGTCCTGATACCCCGCAACTTGGGCTGCCAAGGAAAAAAAATTCTAGACCTACCTTTTTAAGACCTGTGAGCTGATTCTTTTTTTGTTACAATGGGAAAATTAGAAGCAGGGAAAGCTCATTTCCCGCCATCTAGGAATCAAAATTTTCCTGGGGGAGAACCCGGAATACCTTTCTTTTTTGGGTTAATCGATTCATGGAAAAAAGAATACATATGCAACTGCTCAATTTTTTTTCTGTATAATAACATTAACGAATAAATAACAATAACTGAAACGTGTACATACATAGTATCACTACTACAATAATAAGATTAATATTTTTCAATCTTATAAATCAATTTTATATAGCGGGAGTTAGTATTGACCTACTATAGCTAATGACGCTTTCTCCAATATAAAGGCTTTTTCTATGAATGGAATGACCTGTACGAAACACGAACTCTTGTAGACCAAACCAGTAGCGTTACGATTTTAATCGTGTGGGAAATATCCTCAAGATTACATAGGCCTACAGTATTTACTGTAATTGAGAAAGCTTACCTGACCGTTTTCAAGAGGGGAAAAAATCTTGAATTTGAATCTAAAATAAAAGACACCTTAGAAGTCGGGAAAGCCCTTTTTTCTGCCATAGGGATCGGGACTTTCCCGGAAACATATTTACCCCCACCCCCAACCTGCCCCAACAACCCAGATCCGCCACTGACAGTTTGGTGTTAAACACTAATTTCGCAACGTCATAACGTTTGAACGTTTAACTTCTTGCAATGTTATGTGAATGTTATTTTGTGACTACCAAACCACAACCTTCACGAACGAATGAGAACGTTTTTGATGGAACCTCGTGTTACTGTGCTTATGAGCACAATTTTATCGGAAGAATTCGATCCAACTCGGCCACAAGTCAACTCGGCCACAAGTCAACTCGGCCACAAGTCAACTCGGCCACAAATCAACTCGACCACAAGTCAACTCTGCCACAAGTCATTTACTGGTACTACACTTTGAAGGAGTAAATTCATCAAGTATAAAATACTAATTCTTTAAGTATTACTATACTTATTGTTATTATTATTGCTGTTATTGTTGTCATTGTTGTTATTATTATTGTTGTTTTTATTACCGTTAGTTTTAATATTAATTATTAGTCTTGGCATTAACATTATATATTGTTCAAATTTTTGCTGATATTATTATTATTATTATTACAGTACCATATAAATAATAAATAATTTTCGATTTATTATTATTATTATTATTCTTATTAAAATTCTTATTATTATTCATTAGTCCTAGTATTATTATTTTAATAATAGTAATTTAAAAAGTTATTGTTATTGGTGTTTTATTGGTATTTTTCTCATATTATTATTATTAATATTATTGTCGTTGTTGTTGTCACCTCTATTATCGATATTATTACCCTATTATTACTAAGTAGGCCTATTATAAGTATCATTATTATTATTATTACTAATTTGTATTACTATTATTATAAAAATAAACATTATCTTTAATTTATTATTGTTGTATTATTGCTATTATCACCTTCAATATCGTTATTATCACTAATTAGTTATTAAAATTGATATTTATAATATCTTTATTATTACCATACTAATATTATTACTGTAGTATCGTTAAAATAAATATTACTATTAATGTTGTTGTGCTGTTGTTGTTATCACCTTTATTATCGTCATAATGACTAATTAGTATTATTAAAGTAAATATTACTAATTTATTGTTGTTATTGTTGTTTAATATTACTGTTGAATTAGAATGTTGTGAGTAAACAGAAGACGAACACATTAATAAATAACTCTTTTTAATTCATAGGCATTAGCATTCAAATCTCTTTTGGTAGTGTGGTGGTCCTGTTTTAATAAAATATACTCATACTTGATTTCAATCATATATTGAAGAAAAAGGATGCAAGATTTACATTAAAGAACTTGTGGCCGAGTTGGCTGTAGCCAAACTTTTTGTGGCCGAGTTGACTTGTGGCCGAGTTGACTGTGGCCGAGTTGACTTGTGGCCGAGTTGACCTGCACCCTATCGGAATACAGGCCTTGACAGTTACTCCAGTGGCTCAAAATTCTGTGCTGCAGCACAGCACAATTGAGAGAGTTTCAAAGCCAAATAAGGGGGGATCCAACTAGGCTAAGTATTACCTTGGTACAGTATTACTATTAATAGCAAAGGTACTACCTAGCCTACGCCCCTAATTTACTTCTGTAACAGTAATGTATTTTTAATTTTACCTCAAAATTCCAGAACTATCTGAGGAAATATTCAGTTCTGTACTGCAAAGCGTACAGCATTTTGGTTGGTAGATTTCGGATCGGAAAGCCAGCCTACCAAAACGATCAGAAATCTTGGGCTAGATTTGCAGTAGTTTTCTCACATAGGATTTCTCCTTCCTTATCACTTAATTGCAAGTCACGCGAGCTACATCAAGTTAGCCAACAATCTGCCAGCCAACAACAAGCCAGCCCACAATTCCAGCCAACAATAAGATAAGATACGATCGTGTTGGACTGCAGATTTCACCATTTACTTCACTGTGTGTGCGGACGCGAAATTAGCGATGTTTTTCAAAACAGCACAAATTCTTCAATATAATGGCCACGGCTGAGGGATAAAAAGTGCGGATGGCGGGGAAGGAGGAGGGGGAGGGACAATATGAGAGGAGTTGGGAAACAATAAGGAGAGGAATTGGGAAACAATATCGTTCGAAAACGACAGATTGTTCCTAAAAATCCCTTGGATTACACATAGGCATGGTGTATCCCTCATTCACACCCCATCGAGGTTAGAGAGGGACCGGAGGTCCCGTTTAATAATAGCTCCACCTTTTTATAATTTTCAATCATTTTTATACTGGTGGTAAATATAGGTAACGATTGCTCAAAAGGGAAGATTGTTCCTGAAAATCCCTTGGTAGGATTATGGTGTGATACCCCAATCACCACAACAAATGTCAGGTGGGAAGAATTTTAGGCGGGAGGGGTGTAAATTTAGAGAACAATTATTCGAAAACAGCAGATTGTTCCTGGAAATCCCTTAATGGGGTTATGGAGCGATACACCCTCAATCACTCCATCGAAGTTAGAGTGGGACCGGAGGCGGTCCGTTTTAATAGCCACACACCTTTTTATAATTTTCACTCTTTTTATACTGTTTGGGGTGTAAATGTAAGAGTAACGATTTCTCAAAAATGGCAGATTGTTCCTAAAAACCTCTTGGTAAGATTATGATTTTCACTCATTTTATACTGTTTGGGGTGTAAATGTAAGAGTAACGATTTCTCAAAAACGGCAGATTGTTCCTAAAAATCTCTTGGTAAGATTAGGCCTATGATGTGATGCCCCCTCAATCACCCCAACAAAGTTAGAGTGGGACCGGAGGTCCGGTTTAATAGCCTCACCTTTTTATACTTTTCACTAATTTTCAAACTGTTGGGGTGAAATATAGGTAAAGATTTATCGAGTACGGCAGATTGTTCTTGAAAATCCCTTTGTAATCCCTTTCATATATACTGTGCGGGATCAATGTTGGTAACAATTGCTCGAAAACGGCAAATTGTTCCTGGAAATCCCATGGTGGGGTTATGATGTGATACCCCCTCATTCACCGCATCGAAGTTAGAGTGGGACAGGAGGTCCTGTTTAATAGCCCCCACCACTTTAATTTTCCTCATTTTCGTACTGGTATGCGGGAGGGGTGTAAATGTAGATAACGATTGCTCGAAAACGGCAGATTGTTCCTGGAAATCCCTTCGTGGGATTATGTTG